TCTGGGGGTGCTTGGCTCTTGTCCGCGACACCTCCGCGGACAAGCTCTCGCCTCGCGCCGTTCCTTGTGTCTTCCTTGGTTTCCCTGAGGACTCCTCTGACTTCACCTTTTACCACCCTCCCTCTCACCGGTTCTTTGACTCCCGTGACGTCCGTTTCGAGGAGTCCACCCCCTACTACGTCAGGTACCCCAGTCGAGGTCTCCCGGTCCCTCCCCCCCCTCTCTTCCTGACCGCCGCTCCCCCGCCTGCTCCCCCGGTACAGCCTCCCCCCCCTGGTCCAGCCCCGTCTGGTGTGTCTCAGGCTAGCCCTCCCCCTTCGGTAGCCCCCCCTGTACAGCCTCCCTCCCCACAGTCTTCCTCGCCGCCTCCTGCAGGTGCTCCCTCTCGGGAGGTTGGTCCTGCGACTGTCCCTGTACAGGTCTCTGGTTCTGGGGGTGCTGGAGTTGGAGCTGAGCCGCGGGTTGCAGAGGACTCTTGTCTTCCGGGGGCTGGTACTGGTCGTGCGGAGTCTGGGGGTGCTGGTGCGGAGTCTGGGGGTGCTGCGTCTGGGGGTGAGGGTGTCCCTTCGGTTTCTAGAGAGCCTGGGTCTGGAGCTGGTGTTGGTGCTGCCTCTGGGGGTGGTGTACTTGGTGCTTCGGAGGTCGACTCTGGGGCTGCCGCTGCCCCGGACACTACTCCTTCCCCCCACCCCTACCCGACCAGGTTCCAGGCTCGTGTTCGTCGTGCTCGTGAGGAGCAGCTGGAGTTGGAGAGAGAGGAGAGAGAGTTGCAGCGGCTCGAGGAGCAGGAGCGACAGCAGCAGGAGCAGCAGCAGGGGCAGCAGCCGCTGGAGCAGCAGCAGCCGCAGCAGCCGCAGCAGCAGCAGCTGCCGTCTCCTCCTCCTGTCTCGGGTCTTCGGACCCTTGGTCTCCCCTCTCCCTCTCCTTCCTCCTCCCCCTCTCCTCCCGTCTCTGGTCCTCCGCTTCCTCCTCCTGACCCCTCTCCCGCTGTTTTCCCTCGTTCTCAGTCTTCGTTGTCTCCTCCTCCTTCTCAGACTTGGGCCTCTCGTCGCTCCCCTCGTGCTCGTCCCTCGTCTCCTGTTCCCTTCACTGACCTTCGTACAGCCTTCCTTTGTTCTCGTCCACCTCGTCCGTCTCCGTCTGTGCTTCCGTCTCCTCCTGAGTCGGCCCTCACTGTGTCGCTTCCTTCTCCTGTCACTGACTACTACCGCACGTACCGTCCTGTTCTCTCTCGTGTTCTCGCCTCTCTTGTTACCCACCCTCGTGCCTCTGTGTCCTCTGTGTCCGCTCTTACTGCCGCAGTCACTGAGTTTGCCTCTACCCGCCGCCTTGACTTCGCCACCGCTCTTGTGGCTGCTCCTCCTTCCAGTCCTCTGGCCGTCGGGGGTGTGTCTGCCCTTGGCTGTGACGCCCTAGAGGACAGGCAGTTTGAGCTAGAGTTCCTGGCGGCCGCTTCCCCTCATCTCTGTGCCATGCTCCTCGCCCCTGAGGGTGACCCCGACGCCCTTGACATTCCGACTCCTCGCACTTACGCTGAGGCAGTGTCAGGGCCTTGGGCCTCTCAGTGGAGAGCTGCCATGGACGCAGAGATGGCCTCCTACAGATCCACAGGCACCTACGTCGATGAGGTTCCCCCTCCGGGGGCGAACGTAGTCGACGGCATGTGGATCTACAGGGTGAAGCGGCCACCGGGATCTCCTCCGGTCTTCAAGGCACGCTACATGGCTAGAGGTTTCAGTCAGCGCGAGGGAGTTGACTTCTTTCAGACCTTCGCGCCCACCCCGAAGATGACCACTCTTCGGGTGTTACTACACGTAGCAGCACAGAGAGACTACGAGTTACACTCTCTTGACTTCTCTACTGCTTTCCTTCAGGGCAGTCTTCACGAGGAGGTCTGGTTGCGTCGTCCCTCTGCCTTCACTGGCTCTTTCCCTCCTGGGACCCAGTGGAGGCTGAGGCGACCGGTTTACGGTCTTCGTCAGGCTCCTCGTGAGTGGCACGACACCCTGCGTTCTACCCTGTCTGACCTTGGGTTCCAGCCGTCTTCTGCTGACCCGTCGCTGTTCGTTCGTCGTGGCCCCACACCTTTCTTTGTTCTGGTCTACGTTGACGACCTTGTTTTCGCCACCCCTGACAGGGTTGCTTTGGCACACGTGAAGTCCGAACTGCAGAAGAGACACACCTGCACTGATCTTGGTGAGCTGCGCCACTACCTTGGCCTGCAGATCACCAGGGACAGAGCTGCTCGCACCATTACACTTTCACAGTCGCACATGGTGCAGCAGGTCCTTCAGCGGTTCGGGCTTCAGCACTCCACAGTACAGCGCACACCTCTTGCTGTTGACCACAGACTCACTGGACCCTTTCCTGACGAGCCGTTCGAGCCTAGTGGTCCCTACGCAGAGCTTGTGGGTTGCCTCATGTACCTGATGACTTGTACTCGCCCGGACCTCGCCTTCCCTCTCAGCGTTCTTGCGCGCTTTGTTGCGCCAGGGAGACACCGTCCTGTTCACTGGACAGCAGCTGTGAGGGTGGCGAAGTACCTAGCGACGACGTCAGGCGTGGGGCTAGTTCTTGGAGGGCAGCAGTCTGTCGTACTTACTGGTCACTGTGACTCCTCTTACGCTGACGACGCTGAGACTCACAGGTCTACTCAGGGGTACTGTTTCAGCCTGGGTTCTGGAGCTGTTTCCTGGCGGTCCACGCGCTCCTCTTCGGTCTCGACCTCTACAGCTGAGGCTGAGATCTACGCTGGTGCCATGGCGGCACAGGAGCTGCGTTGGTTGACCTTCTTGCTCACCGACCTTGGTGAGCAGCCGAGCTCTGCACCGACCTTGTTCACTGACAACAAGGCGTCTATTCTCCTTTGTCGAGAGCCACGACTGGAGAGCAGAGTGAAGCACATTCACGTCAGGTACTTTCTTCTGCGAGAGTTGCAGAGGCGTGGACAGGCTCGCTTTGAGTTTGTGGAGTCCGAGGCCAACACTGCAGACATCTTCACCAAGGCGCTTCCGCCTTGTGACCACCAGAGGTGCTGTGTGCAGTTAGGCCTTGTTGACACTGGTTCTCGTGTTGCTTAGACTTGAGTGTACTGTTTACTTTGCTTTCTATATACCTCTGTTACTTCTTGGACTGGCCTTGTGGCCACTGTTGTTTGTGCTCAGACTGTGTGGTGACGTTGTGATCCACCCTGAGCTTCGTTTCTTGGACTGGTCTTGTGACCGTACTCGTTTGGTTCTGCTAGACACCCCTCACTTAGGCTATGGGGGTGTGTCAAATGTTGTAGCCTATAGTGAGGTTTGTCTTAGGGGGTACAAAACTTAGGGTTAGCTATATGTACCCCAACCAACATCAATGCATCATTCATTCCTCATTTTGACAAAGGGGTACATTCCCTTATTATAACTGTTTTACAGGCATTACAACAGTGACTCTGACTATTACATTTCCTTTCTTGTTACCGAGTCGCTGCTTGTAACCGTGCGTACGGTTACGCCTGTTGCCATTCCACGATAGTAGGTCAATCGTCGGTCCAGATAGTCAACAGTCGCGACAGTTGACTCTTGCGACTGTTGACTTTCCTGCCTTGATATAGGCTGATCCGACATCTGCTGTTTGCGCTGCTTCGATGGTGGCAGGTGCGATGTTGCTGCACCTTCGGGAATGCTTACGATTCCCTTCATACTCCAACATAGATGAAATGGGCATTCTGTTTTCCTTGCATAGGGCTGCTCTTGGCGAGGACAGTCCGAACAGTTCGCGAAAGTTTGGGTTCGGCCTACTTTGGGCCGAACCACATTCCGGATTCCCCTGCACCAACCACGACACATCCAAACCTCACACGTCCCGAGGTTCTTGCCTACCTGGTTTCTGCCCTATAAAGGCTTGCTTCTTTCATTATCTCGTGATTCTGTTCTGTGTTCTCATCCTTTTTAGTACATCTCATAAGAAGTGAAGTACCCCGTAACAAGTCTGTTGTGAAACGTAAGCTGGCGTTACGCAGGCGAGCGTGGCAAGGTTCCCAGGAAGCTCGGGTTGTCAAGGGCGGGATTCGCAGAGGGTTTCGCGAGTGGGTGCTGGGCTCGGGGGGTTCGCGCGTGGTCCCACGGTTGCGTGGCACTGGGGTGGCGGGGCTCGCCACCTGCATCCGCCTCCGGAAACTTTTGCTGGGGGCTCGCAGTGGGCAAACGCAGTGGCCCTCTTGTGGCGGGGAACGTGACGGGGGAGGAAAAGCGGTTCCCCCCAGCACCTGTTACGGGCCGGTTCGCCGTGTCGTTCACTATTGGGATGGGAACGAGCTGGTTCGTTGTCTCCCAACACACGCCCCACTCCCACTGGGCATCGACCCCGCAGGCAGACCGTCTAACGGAGAACCTGTTCAAAAGAACTGACCTCATAGCGCGCCAAATACATTGTTCTGAATTCGTCGAGCTAGTACTTTCGCAAGAGTTCGTGAAATTACTCGTCGGACTTGAGGAGTCTGCGAATTCTATACATTTCGCGAAGACGCTCCTCAAGTCCGGATCTAGGACCTTCGCGAACACGCCTTAAGCTCGAATCACAATCTCCCCTCCTCAACTCCCGATGCTTCTCCATTCCTCCATTTCTCGCCCACTTCTCAGACCGTAGCCTCTACTCTTCGTCGTAGGCTGATTGCTACAGACTTCGCTCTAGAATAACCCACACGCTTCCGTTTCGCCGTCGATCCTAATCTCGCCCCGTGTACTGCACGTACTACGCGAGCCTTACTTAAGTACCAGTAACCATGGACCCAGTAATCCGGGTTTTCGTTAAGTACGCGAACATCGCCAACCATCAAAGAAGCGCCTACTGTAGATTCCATTCAGCTGCTACTTCACAACCGTCCGACGTGTTATCCCACGTGCTGTATTTTGTTGCTCCCTTGGCTTCACGTAGTGCTGGTAATAGCTTTGTACTTCCCTCGACATCACGTAGTACGAGCTCACAACCGTCAGACGTTTTATCTCGCGTGCTGTATTATGACCGCCGGAAGCGCCACCACCTTCACCAGCCAGTTCCTCGGTCGGCCTGCTACCAGCGGCACTCTCTCTTTCCCTGCCTCCAAATCCTGCGCCTCCAAATCTTGTGCTTCTACTGGCCGCACTCGTTGCGCTGCCGCCAAGTCTGCCATCAGTGATGGTTCGGATCGAAACAACGCGGCTTCTTCCCGCGCCCACGGGAAACCTGCCCACGGAAAGCCTGCCGTGGCAAGGCGGTTGCGCGGCGGCGAGCTGGCTGCCAGCATGACCGCCGTGGCCGCGCCTCTCTGTGACTCGATTTCTCCCTCTTTGCACACTGTGAGTTTGGACCCGACCCTATTGTCGTTTTTCCACTCGGAGTTGAATTTCCCTCGGCTCCTGCAAAAGGAAGCTGCAGCTGTTTACAATGAAAATCCTGGAATCTCATGGCGCTACCGTGGATGAGTTGATTCTCCGACTTCATTTTCCCCTCACCCGCAGGTGCTCGAATCGCCTCACAAGACCAGTCATGACATCATGGCGACACCCTGGGACTGGGACACCAGCGAGCAGCAGCCAACAGCGCCGTCGCAAGCGCAGCCCAAAGCGCAGCCCAAAGCGCAGCCCAAAGCGCAGCCCAAAGCGCCGCATGAGAGCGTGGCGAGCAAGCTGTGCAACGCCATAGAGCGATGGCTCAATGCAACGGTCAAGGCGCCGCCCAGCAGGACGTTTCTCGAGGGGAGCTTCGCCCCTGTGGAGAACGAAATCAGGCCAGTCACTGACCTCCCCATCACTGGCCATCTCCCAGTAAGTTCCTGCCACATATCTACTCCATGCGTTACCTCGCTATCAGTGGTTCGTACCTATTATGTATGGAATGGTATGGTGTAATAGCCGAAGTGTGGCTTCCCTATTATGCATCGTGCTAGTACACCCCCCCGTCCCCTCCCCCCGCGCATAGCCCTCACCTTGCCACCCCGCTCGGCCGTGTCTCCCTGTGGCTCTGCTCTGCTGTGCCCCCACCCCACAGGAGTGTTTGAACGGTGTGCTGCTGCGCAACGGTCCCAACCCCCGGTTCACGCCCACGTTCAACTACCACCTCTTCGACGGTGACGGGTGAGCGAGTGTGAGTGACTCTTGTGGCTTTTGTGACTTTAGAGGCACCTCGTGAGGTGATTTCCCAACCCCCGGTTCACGCCCACCTTCAACCTCCACCTCTTTGACGGTGACGGGTGCGTACCACTGCGTGCCGAGGGACGCACAAGCCCCCCTGGTTTTCCCTCTGCCTTCTCAGTAGCTTCCCTCTGGTTTTCCCTCTGCCTTCTCAGTAGCTTCCCCCTGGTTTCATCCTGCCTTCTCACTCTCTCCCCCCTGGTGTCCCCCTCCTCCACTTACTCCCCTGCCCGTCTCCCCGCCCTCCCAGCATGCTGCACAGCGTGCGCATGAAGGGTGGCAAGGCCAGCTACGCCAACCGCTACGTGCGCACGAGCCTTGAGACGTCTCCCTCCCCCATTCCTCTTCCGCTCCCCCCCCCCCTGTTCCCTCCCCCTCTCCCCGCCCTCCCAGCATGCTGCACAGCGTGCGCATGAGGCACGGCAAGGCCAGCTACACCAACCGCTACGTGCGCACGAGCCGTGAGACGTCTCCCTCCCCCATTCCTCCTCCGCTCCCCCTACCTGTTCCCCCTCCCCCTCCCCTCTCCCCCCCTCCCAGCATGCTGCACAGTGTGCGCATGAGGCACGGCAAGGCCAGCTACACCAACCGCTACGTGCGCACGAGCCGCTTCACGCAGGAGGACGCCCACCAGCGCGCCATGTTCCTCAAACTCAGCGACCTCGTGGGGTACGCGGGACTGGGCAGGCTCCTCTTAGAGCAGCTGCGGTTCGGGCTGGGCGTGCTTGACGGGTCGCAGGGGAACGGCACGGCCGACACAGCTCTCGCCTTCCACGCGGGGCGGCTGCTGGCTCTGTATGAGGCCGATGTGCCGTATGTGATCGAGGTGAAGCCCGATGGGGACCTGGAGACGAGAGGCAGGATGACTTACGACGGGCGGCTCACGCACCCGTTCACCGCGCACCCCAAAGTGGACCCGGTAACCGGCGAGCTCTTCACGTTTGGCTGTGAGCCCGATGCTCGGTTCCTGACCTACCGAGTGGTGTCCAAAGCAGGGGAGATGGGCCCTCCCGTGCACATCACCATCCCAGCGCCCACGTTGATGCATGATTTCACCATCTCGGAGAATTACGCCGTGTTTCTCGACCTTCCATTGGAGTTCACACCTCACGCGGTCATCAACAACAAGATGCCGTTCCTCTGGAACCCGGACCGGCCGGCCAGGTTCGGCGTCTTGCCTCGGTACGCGGAGAGCGAGGCGGAGATGCGGTGGTTTGAGCTGCCGCCACTGTTCATCTTCCACACGGTGAATGCGTGGGAGGAGCAGACGGAGGGAGGCGAGACGGAGGTGGTGCTGATTGCAAGCCGCTACGACAGCATCACCAGCCTGGAACCAGAGCCTGGGTAGGTTCCCATGCTGTACGAGTTCCGATTCAACCTGGCAACGGGGGAGGCGTCGCAACGCCAGCTCACCTCCTTCAGCTGCGACTTTCCGTGCATGCATGGCGGCTACACTGGCCGGTGGGTATCTGTGCCTCTGTGTTGTGTGTATGTGTGTTTGCTTGTGTGTGTAGCTGCATGCGTTTGTACGTGTGTATGTGCTTGCGTTTGTCGTGCTAGGTTGCATGGATATTCCGTCTCGCTATTTGAAACTTTCATCTTGCGCGTGGCAAGAACAAAACGGGTGGTTTAGAGATTGCACACCATCTTCTTTCCCTCTCACTCCCCCTACCTTCTCCTCCCCCCTTGCCTCCTTCCCCTCGACTCCTGCTCCACCAACGCAGCAAGCAGCGCTATGTGTACTGTGCGACCTTCGAGGGCGAGAACATAAGTGGAGTGGCGAAGGTCGATCTCTCCAGGCCTCCAGACCTCTCAGCACCGCACCCCACCGTCAGCGGCTGCGTCTCAGGGCTCTTCAACCACAGGCCTGGCAGGTTCGGCTCCGAGCCTGTTTTCGTGCCTCGGAGTGACGAGCCTGGAGCAGAGGAGGATGACGGTTACGTGCTGTCATTTGTGTTTGACAGCAACACAGAGTGAGTGGTGTTCTCTCCTCCCTCGGGTTTACATTGCGTTCTCTGCCTCGCATGCTTGCAGCAGCCTCTCTGCCTTGCAGCCTCTCAGCTGCCCCATTCGGCATACCAGCCATGTTGTTTGGCTCAAGACTTTCTTGTCATAGAATGCACCTCTTCCTCCCTCGCTTTCCCAATATCTCTTCCCAATGTCTTGTCCCCTCCCGTCACCGTCTCCCCCTGTGTTGCCCCACGTTCTACCCCGTGCAGTGCATCGGAGGTGGTGGTGCTGGACGCAAGGACTCTATTTTTGACATGTCTCAAAACTTGTCTCCCCCTGTGTTTCCGCACATTCCTCCCCAAGCAGTGCATCAGAGGTAGTGGTGCTGGACGCAAGGACTCTCGCCGCACAGCCCGTCGCCACCATTCACCTGCCCGTTGCTGGACGCAAGGACTCTATTTTTGACATGTCTCAAAACTCGTCTCCCCCTGTGCTTCCCCACGTTTTGCCCCCTGCAGGGCATCGGAGGTGGTGGTGCTGGACGCCAGGACCATGGCCTCTACACCGGTCGCAACCATCCACCTGCCGCAGCGCGTGCCAGCCGGCATCCATGGCATCTTTGTCTCCGAGGTATGCTGCTGCACGTCTCATGTCGACTGCCCCAGCGCATGCATGTCTCATGTCTCATGTCGACTGCCCCAGCGCATGCATGTCTCATGTCTCATGTCTCATGTCTCGTGTCTCTCTCTGTCCATGAATGGCTGCGAGTCAGTGATTGGAATTGCATCTGCATATGCTAGTCATGGACTATCCTTTTAGTTTAGGCATCTGTATGCACGTCTAACAACATTCAATACCGTCCCCATTTTGCCACTCGTGCTGCAGGATCAATTATCCACTCAGATTTGCTTTTGAGTCGACTCAAAAGCACACTCGTGCTGCAGGATCAATTATCCACTCAGATTTCAAATTAGGAGAGCAATGCTGCACTCCTTGTACAGAAACGCCGTTATTGGAGCACAGCGTGTAGCTGAGATGCATGCCTAGATGGCCCATTGCCATTGCATGTATTATGGGTACCATAGTTCAGTAATGTATAGGATCCACCAGAAGTTTCTAGTCAGAGTAAAATATGTCAACAAGACTAGGCAAGAATGGTGCATTGAATGAAACAGTTGGGTACAAGTAGCAAACCCTAGTTGGGGTTGTACCCCACATTGGCTACCCCACTACAGCCTACCAACATGTAAGACATTACAATTTAACACACCCCCATAGGCAAAGTGGGGGAGAACAAAGGGTCACAAGACCAGTCCAGCAAAGCAACGCAAGCCCAGGGTGGATCACAACGTCACCACACTCCGAGCACAAGCAAAGGCCACAAGGCCAGTTCACATGCAGTGCTAGATATAGTACAAGACAAGCAACACAGTGATCAAAACCTAGCAAGCAAGCAACAAGATATATATAAAGTACAGTACAAAGAAAGTCAAGCAGTAAGCAAATGAGGGAATGTGGACACAAGGCCTAAAGAAGTACAGTGCCGCTGATGATCACTAGGCGGGAGCGCCTTGGTGAAGATATCAGCAGTGTTGGCCTTCGAGTCCACGTACACAAGCCGAAGCTGACCGCGCTGCTGCAGCTCTCGAGCAAGAAAGTAGCGAAGAGCAATGTGCTTCGTCCTGTGCTCCAGTCTGTGCTCCTGACACAAGGCAAGGGCCGCCTTGTTGTCGCCGTACAGAACTGGAGGAGAACTAGGCCGCTCTCCCAAGTCAGTCAGCAGGTAGGTGAGCCAGCGTAACTCCTGTGCAGCCATGGCCGTGGCGTAGATCTCAGCCTCACAACTAGAGCTGAGAACAGAAGAAGAGCGGGTGGACCGCCACGAGACAGAACCAGAGCCAAGGCTGAAGGTGTAACCCTGCGACGACCGCTGCGTAGCCAGGTCGTCCACCCAAGAAGCGTCCGAGTGACCAGTGAGGACAACTCTGTCGCGTCCTCCAAGCACCAGCCCCATGCCTGATGTACTGCACAAGTAACGCAGCACCCTCTTAGCAGCCTCCCAGTGCTCTCGCCTGTGTCTCCCAGGCGCAACGTAACGAGCAAGGATGCTAAGAGGGTACGCGAGGTCAGGTCGCGTGCAAGTCATCAGGTACATGAGGCAGCCTACAAGCTCTGGGTACGGGCCACTCGGCTCTACGGACTCGTCCGAAGGTGGAGCTGAGAGCGAGTGGCTGGTAGCCAGAGGTGTGGCCTGTGGTGAGGAGAACTGGAAGCCGAAGCGCTGAAAGACCTGCTGCACCATGTGTGACTGAGTCAGGGTAATGGTGCGGCGTGCTCTGTCCCGGGTGATCTGCAAGCCAAGGTAGCTACGCAACTCACCCAGGTCAGTGCACGTGTGTCTCTTCTGCAGCTCCGACTTCACACGAGCGAGTGCCTCAGTGTCAGCAGTAGCAAAGACCAAGTCGTCGACGTACACGAGGATGTAGAACGGCGGCAGCGACGTGTCTGTGCGCAGGAACAGTGACGGGTCAGCAGTGGAAGGAGCAAACCCAAGGGCCGCAAGTGTAGTCCTCAGTGTGTCGTGCCACTCGCGTGGCGCCTGGCGGAGACCGTAGACTGGCCGCCGGAGGCTCCACTGGGTACCAGGAGGAAACGACCCAGTAAAGCCAGGTGGGCGGCGCAGCCAGATCTCCTCGTGCAGGCTGCCCTGCAAGAACGCTGTGCTGAAGTCAAGAGAGTGAAGCTCGTAGTCACGCTGAGCGGCAACGTGCAGCAGAACCCGAAGAGTGGTCATCTTCGGGGTGGGGGAGAAGGTCTGGAAGAAGTCAACCCCCTGACGCTGACTGAAGCCTCTAGCAACGTAACGAGCCTTGAAGACAGGTGGAGAACCTGGCGGCCGCTTCACCCTGAAAATCCACATGCCATCGACGATGTTCGCCCCAGGAGGGGGAACCTCGTCAACGTAGGTGCCTGTGGACTTCCAGGATGCCATCTCTGCGTCCATGGCTGCCTGCCACTGAGAGGAGTAGGGGCCCGAGATCGCCTCTGCGTAAGAGCGCGGAGTGGGGATGTCTAGTGCATCCGGGTCTCCCTCAGGGGCAAGCAGCCAGGCCACGAGATGAGGTACAGCAGCCGCAAGAGAGTCAAGGTCCTCCTGCCTGTCCTCAAGGACGTCCGTGGCAAGAGCACACTCACCCCCGACGGACGGAGGACAGACAGACTCAGACTCAGCAACAAGACTGGCGGCGTAGTCTAGACGACAGGCAGCAGCAAAGTCGACAAGCTCAGCGACCAGGGCAGACGCAGCAGCAGACTCAAAAGACGGGTCAGTGACAACAGTGGCGAGAAGACGGGTAACAGTAGGGTGGGCAGCACGAACACTGTCAGACTCAGGGTCGGGAACGTCAGGAAGAGAAGACGCAGGAGGAGACGGTAGGGGGACACGCTGTGGACCAGTGGAAGGACGAAGGGCCATAATGTGCGTGCCAGGAACAGGAGGAGGACGCGGACGCGCGACACGACGACCAGTGGGACCAGTGCGCGCAGTGCGAGCAGTGCGAGCAGCGCGAACAGGCGAGGCAGGACGAGACACAGGCTCACGACGCTCCGTAAGCGAGTCCGGCTGTGCAGTGTAAGGCACAGGAGCAGGGAGGGGGGAGCCAGGCTGGAGGGGAAGGCCAGTGGAAGAAGGGAGGGAAAGAACCTGGCGAAGCACCGTGTCAGGCGGTGGCAAAGCCGACGGCGACGGTGGAGCGAAGAACAGTCGCGACGGCGGAGCTCCGCCAGCACCTCCAGCACCCGCAGCACCAGAAGCACCAGTACCAGCACCCCCCGCCGCAGCACCCCCAGAGCCGGCGACGTCAGCACCAGAGGCCCCAGCAGCGGCAGACCTCCCCTCGCCAGCACCTCCAGAACCAGCAGGACCAACACCTCCAGGACCGTCAGCTCCAGTGTCGTCAGCTCCAGCAGCTCCAGCACCTCCAGGAAGAGCACCCCCAGAGCCGGCAGCTCCAACTCCGCTAGGACCGTCAGCTCCAGAGGCCCCAGCTCCAGCAGCTCCAGCCTCAGTGCTCCCAGCCCCGGCAGCTCCAGTACCCCCAGGACGAGCACCTCCAGGACGAGCAGCTCCAGAACCTCCAACTCCAGCGGGACCACGAGGAAGGCGAAAGCGCTGGACGTACCAGTCACGAAGCTGCTGCTGTGTGAGAGGCTCCCGGAGAGACGGCTCAGCACCCCGAACCGGAGCACCCCCAGACGCAGCAACCCCAGGCTCCGTAGGCTCAGTCGCAGCACCCCCAGGCTCAGGACCCCCAGACTCAGCACCCGAAGGCTCAGCGCACCCAGGCCCGGCAGCTCCAACCCCGCTAGCACCGCCAGCTCCAGCAGCTCCAGTCTCAGTGCTCCCAGAACAACCAGCCCCGGCAGCTCCAGTACCTCCAGTACGAGCACCTCCAGGACGAGCAGCTCCAGAACCTCCAACTCCAGCAGGGCCACGAGGACGGCGAAAGCGCCGGACGTACCAGTCACGAAGCTGCTGCTGTGTGAGAGACGGCTCAGCACCCCAAACCGGAGCACCCCTAGACGCAGCAACCCCAGGCTCCGCAGGCTCAGTCGCAGCACCCCCAGGCTCAGTACCCTCAGGCGCAGCACCCCCAGGGTCAGTACCCCCAGACTCGGCACCCCTAGGCTCAGTACACCCAGGCTTTGTACACGCAGGCTCAGCACCCCCAGGCTCCGTACTCTCAGGCACCGTACCCTCAGCTCCAGCACCCTCAGTCCCAGCACCCGCAGCCCCAGCACCCCCAGGCCCAGCACCCCCAGGCTCAGCACCCCCAGGCTCAGCACTCCCAGCAGCACCACCCGCAGCAGCACCTGAGTCACCTGTGACCTCGACAGGCTCAGCGACGGGAGGAGGGTCTACCTGAGAGACACCTGAAGGAGCAGGACCCTGAGGGGGAAGGGGGTCTACCGGAGGGGGACCAGGAGCGAGGAAAAGCGGCGGGGGAGGGAGAGGGGCAGTGCGGTAGGGGAAGAGACGGTAGAAAGGGACCGACTCGTCAAAGGTGACGTCCTGAGAGGCGAAGACCCGGCGCGAGGTGGGGTGGTAAAACTGCCAGCCAGGCGCGTCAGGGACAAAGCCAAGGAAGACACAGGGAACAGCACGGGCGGAGAGCTTGTCCGCGGTGGTATCGCGGACAAAGGCACGAGAATCCCAGACCCGGAAACGCGACGCATCGCCAACCTCCCCCGTCCACAGCAGTGTGGGCGAGGTCTCCGGCAAGGAGACACGGGGCCAGAGGTTGAGCTGATGCGCGGCGTACCGGACCGCAAACGGCCACAGAAAATGGGGGGCAGCCGCATGGATCATGGAGGTACGAGCGACCTCCATGACCAAGCCAATGCGGCGCTCAGCAATCCCATTCTGCTGCGGAGAGGCCGGAAGCGTGAACGACTGGGTGATGCCGCGCTCCGCACAGTAGGCTGCCAAGAGGTCGGAGGAAAACTCACCACCTCTGTCAGAGTGCAGACGCAGGACGGGAAACTCTGTCCCGAACCGCCGGCGGAGCTGGAGACGAGCAGCGCGGATCCAGGGGATCAAAACAGTAGGGACCTCACCCTTGGTGCGCAAGGGGAAGACCGTGGTGTAACGCGTGTAGTCGTCGACGACCAGCGTGAAGTACCGCTCGTGGTCCTGTCCACGGACGCGGGTTGGGCCCCACACGTCCAGGTGGAGAGTCTGCAAGGGAGCCTCTGTGGGAGGGAACGAGGAGGAGTGAGGAGCGGCGCGCTGCCGCCCCTCGACACAGGGAAGACAGGGAGGAGCAGGCGAGGGTGGGAGGGGAGGGAGAACTCTGGGAAGACCAGAGACAAGGACACGACGGTGCATGCTGCGAAGGCGCTGCACCGAGGGGTGA